TCTACAGCCCCATCATCCTGGACCCAAACACTGCTGGTAAAGGACTGGTCCTGTCTGAAGATCTGACCAGCATGAGAGCAGGAAATAAACAGCAGCTTCCTGATAATCCAGAGAGATTTGATAATTTATGGTCTGTTCTGAGTTCTGAGGGTTTTAACTCAGGAAATCACAGCTGGGATGTTGATGTTGGAGACAGTGAAAACTGGAGACTTGGTTTGTTACCAGAGTCAGTCCAGAGGAAGGGATACACACGGTCTAACGTATGGGGATTGTGCTTCATATATCATAAATACTCAGCAGAGTCACCAGCAGCTCCTGGTAAATATCTCCCAGTTCAGCAGAAGCTCCAGAGGATCAGAGTGAATCTGGACTGGAACAGAGGAAATCTGTCGTTCTCTGATCCTGATACAAACACACACATACACACCTTCACACACACTTTCACTGAGAAGATGTTTCTGTTTATTCTCACTTTCAGTCCAATAAAAATGTGTCCAGTGAAGATCTCAGTGGTCAAACAGCAGCTCTGATGTTCTTCCTGCTGAAAACAAAGTTAAACCTGATTGGTCAGTTTGAAACTCACAGATCTGAAACAGGAAGTTGGAGACGTAACAGTAACAGTTCTGATTAAATCCTTTTGTTCTGATTTTTTTCAATAAATTCTTTTCTGTAATTTCACTAAACAAAGATCTGCTCAGTTTTTAAATTCTGTTAAAACTATGTATGATGATGAGCAATTCTGCAAAACTAATACAGTGTTTTAAAAACAACAATTATCCTGTGATGACAGGCTGTTGASTGAATTTTACAAGATTTTGGAAAATAAAAACTGACTAAAAATTCTATTTTTCTTCTTCTGTCTTTTTTAAGTCTAGTGAAACACATCAGTATAACATCTTGATGGTACAAAATAAACACAAACAGCCATAAAAAAACAAACTAAAGTCTTTAGAGAAATGGACTTAAAGGAAAAAGTTTAAAAGAAAAATCCTTTACAAAGTACAAATTCTCAAATATTGTACTAGTAAATGTACTTCTTTACTGCTGCAACATGAACGGCCCGACATGGCCTCTTGACCACCACCGGTCATGTCTCYTAACCGAACGTTTGTTGTGAAAAAAGCTTCTTAGAGACAAATTCTCTCAGAGCTTCAATAAACTGACCTTGTCTGCAGATAATCCTGACACCACAGTCTGTTTTAATCTTTTCTGATTCTTTATAAAACAGAAGAAAATCTCTAACGTTGTGTGACATGCTGTTCCTTTTTAAAGATATTTTATTTGAAGTGTTTGATCTGAAGATGAATCTGAACTGTGGTTCATTTTAACCTCCAGTGTTAAAGTAACTGATTGTTTTTCCTGTTCTCTGATCAGATGTTGGAAATACATTTTTTTTACTAATTTATGTACACATAATTATACCACAGTGTGTGAACAGCTATTTAGTATGTAATGTGAATATGATGATATTTGAATACCTAATTTTTTTAATGACAGTGAATTTTGATGAGGCGAGGGCTGCTGACGCAGTAATTTATAATTAATTTATTCCAGGAGGTGCMGTTCCAGCTGCGGCCTGTAGGTGGCGCCAAAGCCTCGCAGTCATGGTGAACTGGAAAAAGCTACCGCATTAGCTTCACTGTAATTTCGATGTTTTTCTCCGCCATCAGTGTGTTGGAGCACCGGCGACAGACATCCACGGTCCTCCCTGATGTCTTTAGCCTACCCACGGTGCTCTTCGCGCGGACTTCGAGCGTCCACTCGGCGATTCTGAAGGTGTGTAAGTGTTATTATTTTTACCAGCTTGGTGCAATCCAACCGGAGACGCTGCGTAATATCAATCCGCGATGTTAGTCTGCTAGCGTTAGCATGCGAAGCTACTTAAAYCTGCAAGCAGAGCCTGCCCTAATGCCAGTGTTTTCAGACCGACTGTGACAAAGCAACGCGGCATTTAAAGAAGCGGAGACCTTAAAAGTTAACGACATCAAACCAGGTGATGTTTTAGTTTCAATTCAAGCTGTTGAATAATAATACAGCCGACTTTTTTTTAGCATGTTGTCAGGCTAAGGTCAAGAAGCTCCCAGTCAGCTAACTGGTATCTGAGTCTATAAACGTGAAATAATTAATCAGTTAGAGACACTGTCAGATAACAGTGGATGTTTGCGAGATGTTATCATTAGAAGTTGAGCTGGTGTTATTTGTAACACGAAGAGGTCGGTCTCTAAAAGTTTAATTAGCTTTAAGCTAGTAGCTTTGTGTGTAAATATGATTTTAACGGGAGTCTCAACCAGGTTATCAATCCGGGCAGATTTGAATCCCTGGCGAGCTGTGAAAGTTTACACCTTACTGATGTTTGTTTTGTTAGATTAAATAACTTTAACTACTTCCCTGTTTATTCAATTTGGCATTCAGGTCTTCCTCAGTAACTCTGACACTATATTTTAGGCTCTGTGAAAGGTCCAGTTGGTAAATAAAAAGACATTAGATCGGGTAGATGGCTGTTTTTACACATTTATGACTGTCACGGTGCTTATAGCTTTTTTGCATTGTCAAAATAACTTGCAAATTTCTCTCAGATGTCACCCCCCCCCCCCCGA